TTGGCAAGAAAGTATCAACAATTCTTTTTTAACAGTGTTAGTTGCCATTGATATATATTTTTCAGGATTCATTTTCATGCATGTATGTGCTTGCACAACAGAAAGCAAGTGCAAGGAGACTTGCAGCTGTAAATTAGATTAAAAATGGATCTGAAGACACAAATCGATGTTTAATTCCAAACTCATTGTTTTTCTGGTTTTATGCTATTATACAATACTTTATTCAGTTTGCTGTATGTGATACAGCAGTGGACATATGGATGCAATAATGTCTCCAGACATTAACTTTTGTAACTTCAACCAACTCTTGACTTGTTTTAACTCATTCCTGCTCTTTAATATCAGAAATGTGGAGCTTTCTCTTTATTTCAGTGACATTTAGATTATTTGCCAATATAAGAATATAATCTAGCGTCTTTTAATCTTTCCGCATCAAAATGAATCTCCTCTCTCCTCCCCTCCAGCCATGAGTGACTACATATGTACACAATATCTTAGAAGAGGCCCTATCCAAACCCTGGAAGTCGTATAAATGATCCTCTGTTCCCTGAAATTCTTTTCGTAACATCTTTTCATGCTAATGTTTTTCTTTTTCTTGGCTATAACACAGTTGTATCTCATGCTATTCTATAGCTCCTTAACACATTCAGGACTTACTTTTTCTTTTGTCCCTTTTAATAAGAAATCTGGTATACAGGGCCATTTACTATTTTTTCGAAAACTTTATAGAGAGCTTTTCCTACCTCCGTTGTTCTTTGTTGCTGTCTTCCTTGCTTGTGACCATGATGTTCTCCTACTGATTTACATTTAATGCTCCTTAGCTAATTATTTCTTCTGTAAGACTCTGTCATATACTTGATTGAAATTCAGATAGCTAAGATCAGCTTCACCTGTCCTGAATAATAATATTATAAATAAAATTATCTCTAAAGTTGACAGATATCAGTCATTTGATGCATTTTTATACATTTTTCTTCTCAGTATCCGGGAACATTTTGTGGAATAACTAAGTTTCTTATTTCTTTTGAGATCCTATAAAATCCCTCCTCTCCACTTCAACCTCTTTGTTTTTTTGTGTGTTTTCTAATTCAGATGTTTTGTGTGGGAACTAAAATAAATATTATGAACTTGGTTACACACGTAATATACATAGTTACAGCTTCTAAGGTAAAATTTAATACAGTGTCTGCTAGGACAGATTTTTGCCCCTGTGCTAAATGCTCTCCATCTCCATGCTATATTAGTACAACCTTTGACCATGTATATTGATTTGTACTTGCATTTTTGTAGCATGAGCACCTACCATGCAAGAAACATCTGCAATATATATTACAAAATTGGATGAACCTCTCAGAAAGTGATATCGGTGCCTCTGAGAACTACTTTCTTAGTGTTCTTCTTTAAAGAGTAACTATAGGATTTTCTCTCTTCTGCTAAAATATCTAGTAATGGTTTCCCCACATCTATTCTGTCCCTCTACAGTTTAAATATTTTAGGATTAGTCAGTGTCCTAAAAGTTTTCTTTGCTGAAAAAGGAAGGTGAGGAAAGCCTGTATTTTCCCTACAGCTAAGGAATAATCAAGCTATGTTGTCTCACTGACAACCACAAAAACATGAATGAGTATTTTCTTCAAGTTCTATAAACTGAAATGAACTAACTGCTGTAATCTCAAATCCTGTCTGCCGCACCCCTTTTTGGTATATTTGGCTTAGCAAAACAGGAGAATATTTTAGTTCTTTTCTTCAGGAAAAATAGCATAGAGATGTAATCATTTTTTTACATTTTTTACATTTAGGAGATCTGTTAATGAATTTTCACTTGTGGGGTTTTTTTTTTNGGGGGAGATGGGGTGTGGTGAGTATTCTTGGCTTTTCCTGCAACCTGCCTTATAATTTTCAGAGTTTTTCCTCTTCTTTTCTCTCCCACCACAAGCTCTCCCAGCCTAATGTGTCTTCTGTTGAGATTTCTAAGTGTACAGCTTGTTAGAAAACATCTTCTTCTCTCTGGGGTATAATATTAACTTGAAAGAAAAATCAAATCCCTGAATCACAGACTCACTTCCTAAAAATGATTTGGATTCTTCACTGCCATAATTCTCTTTTGAGAAATAGATTTCATAARCCCACTAACTTTTAGTTTTTCCAAAGAAGCAATTTCTCATGTGTAAGTCATTCCTACTCAAGCAGCAGTAAGGAGCATGTTCCATCTGCTCTTTCCCATGCATTTACCTAAGGCATGGTAGGCRTTAGGCTTTGCTGACTCTGCAGCAAAATATTTACACTTTAAACGCAAAGTGCTATGTGCTAAGGAAATGTGAAGATGCCTATTGGCACAGTAAGTAACACCTAATTGTTAATAACAGGAAAAGAAAATATATTTCTGAAGGTCAACTGTCGCAGCATCGAGTTCCCAGTTGGACAGATGTTCAGTAATTGTGACCCTTGAACAGAAAGTTGGGATAGTACATCCTCACTTGTGGTCTTATTCAAACAGTAGATAGGTTCCCATTATTTCATGTATTAAGCTGAATATTAAAATTGCCGACAAATTCACTGCTTTCACACATGGTTAGAAAACCTCCCTGAAAACTGTCTGTTTTTACATATATAGACAAGATTTTTTTTTTGTCAAACTGTGATGCTATGAACCTGTGACACAAAATACATATATAAGGACAGAACAAACATATAATAATAATGTAATGGCTTTTATTTTACTAGTCACTTTTTATTTATGCACATTTGTTTTTTCTTTGTAATGTGAAGAACTTGTTCTCAAGAATTGTCACTTACCTATCAGGTTGTTGGCCTTGAGTGGGCTAATCTTATGTATTGCGAATTATTAATATGTTTATTTTCCTGCAGAACTGGAAAAGCCACTTGAGAAAGATATAGAGAAGTTGTTGTTGTTTTCTTTCAATGACAAGGAAAGAGGAAAAAGACTTTTGTTCACAACATCATTTTTTTTTSATGATGATCATTTAAAATGAGAGAAGATTCTGTAAAATCTGAGAATAATAAAAAAATCATGTCAGTCTGGTGGTATACTACTATATAATCACTCTATGTTAGATTGTAAGAGATAGAGATCGCAAGGAATTCTGAGATAAGACGATTGGTCTTTTTTTTTATTTAGGAGGAGTCTTTTTAATTTAGGTAGAAATGGGAATGTGTGGCTTCTGTAGGTGCATCTGGATCAGAGTCTGATGTCTTATTCAGTAAGATATCATGTTTTAGAGGCTTTTACATGCTGTGTGAGCCTATATCTGTGGCATAAAGGAACCCTGTTTCACTTCAGCACTTCTTAAAAGTCCTGAAAAGTTCAGAGAAACAGGAAAAAATAAGGTATATGCTCTATGCTCCCTGCAATGAAACTAGMTTAGCATACCTTCCTGAATTCATTAGACATGAAACGGTCTCATCAGACCTTTAGGAATACCTTCTTTCTCTTATCACTGCTAAGAGGATAATCGCATTTCAACMTCCTTTGTTGAAGGAGGTTGCTTTGTTGAACGTCTGTTGCTGTAAAAAACAATTTCATAAAAATTGCACTGCACGTCAGTGGTATATTCCAGGTTGGTCTGAGAGTCTGCAGACTGGAATATCTTATCTCTGAGAGTCTGAGAAAACTAGTCCAAAGTTTTCTGGGCAATAAAATTGCAAATTGCAAATGCAAATTCTGGGCAATTGCAAAGCTAGCAATGTTTTCTTACAAGTCACAACAAATTTACATGTTTACTCACTCCCAGCAATAACATAACAAAGCCACGCTGAGTTCTACTGTTAGAAGAACAGAAGTTCTCACACCTAACTGTGCTCATTCCCTGCCATCAGAACAATATTTTATTGAAACACAGAATTTACCATGCAGATCTCTCTTGTATCTTCCTCTGTGTCGTCTAGCTGATATTTTTAAAAAATCTTTAAATCTTGGGCTATTGGCATAGGGCATTTGTGAATCAAGTGTCTCAAAGTGGTTGCTGGGTGGGTAGCGATAGGAATCGCTATTACAAGTGTTGCCAAACTATTGCCCTGCCTAGTTCCTTTAAACCAGCTGACCTATTGTCTTACATCTTTGTTGTTAAAGACTACATAAAAACCATCTCATAATTGCCTCAACTGTGTATAAAACACTCTGCTATGTGAAAATTTCTGCATCTGCACAAGAGGAGTTTGTGCTGACAAGAGTCTCCCCTATGTACACTTTGGTCATTTCTGCAGTAGAAACCACCTGATGTAAAAGACGGGTACCTCAGGAGTGCATATTAGCAGCGTATRGACAAATTATCTACCTGCTCCATTAAATAAGATGTAGCATTTCATCTGTTTTTTTTTTCTTTAAACAACCTTGTTATTGTTTTTGTTTCTTTTTGATTATCATTAGTTAGAATTTTAATACTGGAGGCTCTTCAGACTGATTATGCTGTGGACACCTTAGGATGTCGATCATCTCCTCAGGCAGCCTGGTGTATACCAGGGAGCCAAGAGGAAATACCTTGATTGTAAAGTTATCCAGATTATTTTCAAATAATTGCAAGAAAATAAAGCACTGAACTGATGATCTTCTAAAATGCAAAACAGCAACCTTATGGTTATACTGATTTACAAACACACTATACTTGTTGAAGTTTTATTGTGTTTGTGTTTTTCAGATACATTTGTATTTCTCTCCAGTAGCATTTTTTTCTTGTGTATTAGATACTCCTATATTCTGTGAAAATATAAATATGGGGAACTCTTCAGACTCTTCCATCTATTGTTGTGTTATAAATCCTATCTGATTTCTGTAATATTCAGTAAGTATTCATTGTTTTAGTAAATAGAGCACCATACTGTAAGTAGAAGTACTATAAAGCAATTCAGCTTTAATTAGGATATTTTTCTTCTCCAGTGGAGTGTTTATATATCTTGGTACTCACTTATGAACTAAAGATGGGATTGCATTTTATATTTTTTTCTCAAAGTTTTGCAAAATCAAATATTGTTCWTTTTTTTTTTAGATATGGAACCCTCACCTCAGATCATAGATGAGGCAGATACGACTGGAAAGTCCCCGTTGTAGGATTTTGAACACAAGCATGTATGTATGCCTTTTTTTTCTTGTGCAGAAGGGCAGGATAGTGAGGGATCCTCACACCAGAACAGTATGATCATCTGCCTGTCTTTTCATCTGCCCCGGACAATATTCACCATGATATATACTAAAATATATGATACAATCTCCCAAAATGTTAATGTCCATTCACATGACATATCCTTCTAATCTTTATAAAGAAAGGGCAAAATCCAAAGCTAAGTGATAAAATAACAATCCTGTGATTGATTTGAATGTGTCAGATCATGTCTTAAAAAATCAAAGCTTAGTATTCACACTTGTAGCCATTGACTTTTCTGTATATTTAGCATAAAAAAAWTAGCATATTATAGCAGAACAGATTATAAGGAACAAATTTACAGTAAGAAATTTTCATTTGTTTTCTAAATTCAGGAACTCAGAAATATGCAATTTTTCCTCTGTTAARTGTAGAAAAGTTAAGAAAAACAGATATTGCTACAGATAATATGGTTTATACAATATATAGGATGCTGYAAGTCTTAACAAAGATTAATAATTACAGTTTTGTCTCAGGCCATACTGTTTTCCCCTCTGAAATAACAATAAAGTGTCCTATTTTTTAAGAAATAAAGGGATGTATAGCAATAGGACTGGAATGTTAAAATGTAGTACTTGGAGGCAAAAGAAAACGTTACCCAAAGTCACATTTCAGATGGTAGGTTCATTTCAAAGGGGACTTGAGGTAGGCTATGAGGAAAGCCCCAAACCCGAATGCTTTGGGGGTCTCACATGAAGGTCAGATGCACTGAGTGTGTAATAAGCGGGAGGCAATGCAGCAGCCATTATCTTCCCTCTGACAAGAGAGCAGCTCACTGACCTGGCACGCTGACAAATGGAGAGGAAAACTCTGCTCTGAGATGTAAATTCCCCACACAGGTCCCTCATGAATATCTTGTCTCCAGGATTCAAGCCGCTGACCTGGAAAACAAGGTTCCTCCCCAATCAAAATGACAGGCAGAGCTGGTTTCCTGTTAGGAAGACTACTAGGTGTGTAAAAAAATTATGATTTCTGAGGAGAAAAAAATGAGATGTCACACAGAGCAAAATATTACTTTCAAATGGTCCTCCACAGCTCCCTTGAATGGCAGCTGTTAAGAATTCAATTGTGTGTATGACACACTGCAAGGCAGGATGGAAGTTCTGTTGGGGAGCAAAAATGAATAGAAATTTTCAATTCAAATACTCATTTGAGAATATTTGAATATCTGTCAGTCTTTATAGCCTAAAGGTTAATTCTTGAAAAGAATTTCCATTAGTAACACAAATTGTAACCTTGTCAAATCCTCTTATGTAATGCATCAACGCTGAAAGACATACTCTGCAAAACTGTACTATTAAATACATAACCTTGGTTCGTAGTGAATTTATACTTTTAGCAGGTTCCTTGATTTGTCAGTTATTTGTTTAAGGTTTTTGTATATTGCACAGATATACACATTGTATATGTTTTTGTGTTGGTATGAACATTTCATAAATATTTCTATACTGTTTCTTCAGATGCATATTCCATTGCTAAGCCTTCTTTGTTTTAGAAATATTAATTAAGAAAAAATGTATGATTTCATTCCCCTCATACAAGATAGGTGTCCATCTAAGGATTTCTGTTATATAAGATGATATAAGAGGTCTTGTCTCAGTTCTATGTATGTGTACTTATCTCACATCAGGCTCTCCATGTTTTATTTCTCTATATTCTGATTTATTTTAGAAGATAGAAAATAGCTATGATTCTTGTTTCTGGATGATAATTTATCTCTTATTTCACCTATATTCCTGAAGAACACCTATGTGTTTGTTCTCATGAATGCTATAAAGTTGGATATCAAAAGTCGCCTGAATTTACAGTAGGAATTGTGTGCATTATAAGTATAAATTTSCACTTAATAAGTCATAAAGATAAGAAGTGAACAGCCTACAGGTACTTCGGTGCCTTTAGATACCTCCAAAAGTACCTCACCAGTGGACAATTTTATTTACTTCATTTAAAACTACAGTAAGTTGTGGCCACCGGGGCCAAYAAATAATGGTTGTTCATTATTTGAACACTATAGATGGATAGCTTTTTCTTTGTAGAAATATGAAACAATTTACTATATATAATGATAATGATATCTTTATAGTTCTTTTACCATAAAATATTTTCAAATCCTTTTGATTTCGTTGCATTGTAGATTTAAGTAATTGTCTTTGCACTGTGGTGTGACATCTCCCTGAATATCAATCTTAATTTTACTGTGAAYTGATCTGATGTCCATATTGTTTCTTATTTTCTGGGATTTTATCCATATTGTTTCTTTCTTTTCTGGATTTTACTGAAGACTTTATAGGACACAGGATGTTTGCCCCATTTCCTGTTCCAGCATTAGATACTACAGCTACTGTTGGGCTTGATATGATTGCTGCTGATGTCCTGCTGCCTGGTACAATCTTTGTTTCAAAGAGCATGGTTTGAATTTGCACATGGAGTTTAGATAGAATGAATATGTTAATAAGCTCCAACCTTAGGTTGCACACTCAAATTACTATCAATTGTGCATGCAGTTTTTCCAGGCTATTTGTTCTGAAAATAAGTACTAAATTATGCATTCAATTTAGTGTCATGTATGAGTACAAAAGATGAACTTGCTCAAATATTTCCAAATGGGAATATTTGTGTATTAAAATATGATGAAATTCAGTTATCTGATGTGCCCTCTTTTGGAGTTTAAAAACAGGGAAACAAAAAATTACATATAATTCTTTTTTCGGGAGTGAGTAGTAATCGAACAGAAAACAGAGCCTGAGACTTATAGCTAATTATAGTTGATCAGTTATCCAATATGAGCCATCAGTGGACCCTTTCAAATTCTTTACTCTGGATACAAGACCCTTTAATAATAGCAGAAAATTAGTAGAAAAACTTTATTTGCATCTGGCCTGATGAGAGATATATTATTATGGAAGTGTGACAAGCATCGAGCAGAGACAACATGGAGCTGAGTTTGCTAAAAATTGCTTTCAGTTTAATTATATTCAGTTGGACTGAACCACTGCCATAGCCCTGCCTGAATTTGGTGAAGGAAATATCTCTTTAAAACTGTTTTTTATTAGGTTCAGTTTATAGCATATGTTATGATTCATACACCCAAGATAGGGAAACCAGAATATGAACTGGAAGTATTGAAAGTATTGTAGTTACTGAGAGAAATCTGAAATCTGCAGAATCAGATAGAATAGTCTCAATTTTCCCTTTTTCTTTTTCCATTTCTTTTCCAAATGCTGTTGTGTTTTCCAGGAGTGTAAAGTAAAATGTTTCGCTRCCCAGAAATGTTCATAGCAATTTTTTCAGGAGACGCATAGTAAAATAGATACCTATTTTATGTAATAGTCTGTCTGAAACCTATAGGCAAAATGTATTTAATTACACCTGCAATTAATTTCATGTCAATCACAGTTGACTTCTAAAGAAAGCTGCTGAGATTAGCCTAGTGAATGCCACCAGGAATAATGATGCTTTGTACTTGAGAAGTGGGGGGAAAGACTTGCATGCATTAGATGCTCTAGACACTGCTCGGAAAGGAAGACATTAGTCCAGCAAAAGTACTGTGGATATTTTTTCCTGCAAGGAAACTGCATCTTGTCACATATCCAGAAAAAATATTTGTCCAGCTTGCCCAGGATGCAGACATATGATGAATTATTTGACTTTAACTAAATTATATCACTTTAGCTGAGTGGCTATATACAAAAGAGAATTTCTATTAAATCATAACAAAAAAAGCTTATAGATYATGCACTCAACAGATCTAACAGAAGTTCCTACACTGTCATTGGTTAGTTTAGGCAGTGGTGGGGGTTGATCCTCTCGGGTGTTGATGTGGAAGATGATCAAATAAATAACTTTTTCTAAAAGATAGATATTGGAGTAGAAATAAAAAGCACAAGTGCATGCATGGCTTTGTGAAGGTAATTTTTTCCACTAAGATAAGTAAAATTAAAAGGGAATACACGGGGAAAAGAACTCAGCATAATAAAATCATGCTTGGTCCCCTTTAATCAGGACCCCTTTAATCCACACTCTTGTCCTCACTCTTCTTACCTTGCTCGTATGAAAGTGGTAGGTAGGACAACAAGTAGTCAGAGCACGTTCCTAGAGGTGCCTGGGTTCTCTGCTCCGGCTCTGCTGGAATACGCAGCCTTGGGCATCCCTCCAGGTTCCTTCTCAGCACTTCTACTTTTGAAGCTTTAGTATGAAGAAATGCATATGTTTAATAACACAAAGACAACCACTTAAGACAAAACCGTCAGTCCAAGTACAGCTRTCCACTGTGGATCCAGTTAAAATGAGTTTTGTGAGGCACACAAACATTTTCTCTGTGCTCTTTCTCTGCTCTTTCTGTGCATTATGAGATTTCGATATTAAATCTCTTCACAAACTGTGTAGGTAGCCATCTGATGAAGTATATATATAAATAAAAAATGTTCTAAAAGCTGGGATAATATGGAGCATTTGTCATCTGAAGTTTTACTTGAGTGATAACAAGATACAGGTTATCAACAGTTACTATATACAAAGCTGTACTGGAAAAATATTCTTATTTGATATTTAATGTTGTGCTTATTTGTTGTAGTAATTGTTATGATGGAAGCTATTCTATTGGTAACTAATAATTTCAAAAAATAAAATGAAAATTGTTTTGTGTTGTGCCTTTGCCAAAAAAGGTTATATTATGGTTATATTATATTATATTTATAACATTATATAGTAACTAATATTTTTATTAGTTACTTACCCACAAACACATATTTACAGTAATATTATGTTTTATTTATAACAAATATAATATTTTATTATATAGKAGGTATGAAAAATAGTCTGTCTCAAAGGAGAAGAACATAATGCATCTATTTCTCAGTGCTCTATGTGCATTAGACAGACATTTAAACAGCAGAAATGGCTTATTATTGATGTTGAATGGGCTTAA